TGCATTGTATAATCTAGAACTGGTGTTTCTACTATTTGACTATTGTCACCCAATCAAACATAGATGACTTAGTAAACCAAACATTTAAAGAATAAATAATAATAATAATAATAATAATAATTAAACGCTAACCCATTTGACAATTTTTTGGGATTTTCCTTGTCAACAAACTGTCTTCTCACAGCTGAATATCGGACAGCAATATTAGCAGCACGTGCAAGCGCAAACCCTGCATTTATTATGATATATGAACGTACAAGAACCATGGTACCATATGATAATTTTTCGTTTGGTGGGTTTATATATTCTCCGGTACCCTTAGTGACTTGTGAAAATTTGGAAAGCATATTGAATCTCGGCATTCGCACATGATCGAATAGCATGAAACCGTTGTCCATCGAATTTAATCTAAAATTTTTATAATATAAATGTGTAGAAACATTTAAAGGATAATTTTAATAGGAAATGATTTGTGTACATCGGTTTCGTGTAACTTCGCGTACTAGTACATCAATTTGCACATCGGTTTTCTGTGCCAGGTTTTGTCGATCATTGTGACGCAGTCTCCTGATCCACAAATCAGATTTCAAGGATCAGGTGTAACGTAACACGATCAGGACATTTCAAAACAACCGTTCGAAATCGCTTATTTCTCAAAAAACTGCATAAAAAACCTTCTTCTAAATGCTAACCCTAACATTAATAAACTTTAAAATATCACATGATCGACAAAACCTGGCACAGAAAACCTACGTGCCATCAAATTTTTTTTTTTTAGCCAATAAACTTTGCTGCGCCTTCAAACCCGAAAATTTCGGGTACTAACGCTACAATTTCATTGGCCAAAAAGAATTGATGTCCGTTATGTTACACGAAACCGGTGTATGCAAATCATATCCCTTTTAATAATAGTTTACCCAAACTTTGGTCCAATGTCTCCAATAATAATTCCTGGTAACGGTTCGTGAGTCGTTAGATCTCGAATCTGTACAATGAATGGGTGTGGACCTTTGTCTGTTCCATTAGTTATCAATTTTGCCATCACAATCGCATAATTACTAGTGAAAATAACATTTACTAAAGAGACTCAAAAACAATAATAAAAATAAACAATAATTTATTCGCTTTAACACATACGCAGCTCTTCCCAGTCCACCAGCCCACCATTTGGCAGAGGTCAAATGAGGAGAATGTATCTCAAACTCATCCGTTTCAGGAATATAAGTGGCCGTAGTTTCTAACCCTTGAACATTTGACCCATGACCTAACTCAGTTTGCGCATAACATCCAATTATTTCATGTTTTATTTCCGGGTTGAGAAATTTCTTTTTTTGTTCTTCGGTCCCCTGACCTCTTATGGTCGGGATGAACATAACATGATGAGCATTATACTTTGTTATTTAATTGAAAAGTGTAAAAGATGTGAATAAAAAGGTCATTAAAAAAAAAAAAAAAAAAAAAACTTTTTTTATGAAAAATTGCAAGGATTATGAATATTTACAGGTCCAGCCATATCAAGAAGCCGATTAGCTGTTCGATATTCCTCCACATCCCACTTATCGGCCCTATAATTTAAAACAACAAATTAATATCGTAAAAATAAATAAATAAATAAAAAAACTTACACAATCAATTTAGCCATTTTCTTATTACACTTCAAAGCATATGTATACAATTCGGTTCTTCCCATAAAATAAATATGCCTTTTATCAAAAGTGGGATCGATTTCCAAAACCTTTAAGATCTTATTTATTCTAGATAACCCATCGGTTCCATACAATGCCAATGTTAATTCTTTAACATCAAATGTTGCTTTAGATCTTTCTATCGCTAATAACTCTGATCCTTGAGGGTCTGAAGGAGCTAAATGCGATGGAATTTTGATGTAGGAAGTCATTTTGTATGTACTTGAGCTGGAGAGTTGTCAAATTGGTTATGCCATGATTATATATGGATAAAATGCGTATATATGTTGTAAATGGGAATGAAATTTAAGGGGATTCGGAATTTTCTAGTTAAATTAGGGTTAGGGTCAGGGTGTACATATGATAAAATCAACCTCAAAATGGGCTTTATATGTAAATTCCGAATCCCGTTTCCACTTACAACATATATACTTCATTCGTCTTCGAGTTTGTATTAGAGTTGCAGGTGAAACAAATTAATTTCACCTGGTGAAACTGGTGAAACTGGTGCACCATCGGTGCACCATAATAGCCGGTTTGTTTAACATAACATAAAATGATTTGTAAGAGGGGGTGGTGAATTAAGAAAAAACACAACAATATAAATACAAATTAATGCTGCAATCTTATTGGTTAATTTGATGTGTATTGATCTATATAAATTTTGAAAAATAGAGGGGGGTTATTTATATTATGTGTTTTTGTTCCTATAATTTTGAAAATTTGAGGGGTGGGGGTTATGTTAAACAGAAAATCAAATTGGTCTGGCCTTACATATCTTCGTATGCAATTTATTGTTTGTTTTTATAGATCTTTGAGTTTGTATAATTGGGTCCCATTTTAAATTATTATAATCGAATTTACGTACGTACTTGCATATGTTAGTACGTACGTAATTATTAGAGTTCCAATCCGGATTTTCATAAATTCTGGGACATCTGACAAAAAATTGACCGACCGAATATTTGCCGATTCGATAAGTTTGTGATTTCGG